ACATTCATCAATATTCTTACCCACCACATAAATTAATGCATCATCTGCAAATAACGCCAAATTTCCCGTTCTTATTACCTTCTCCATATCGTTTACATAAATTAAAAACAATAAAACGCCCAGAATAGTGCCTTGTGGAACTCCTAAAGAAACTTCTATGGGGTCAGATATTTCTCCACCAACTTTTGTCCTTTGCTTTCTGTCTTTTAAATAAGATTGGAACCACTTTAATTCTATACCATCAATGCCATATTTTTTCAGCTTGTAAATTTAAATATCACGGTCAACTGTTTCAAACGCACGTCGTAAGTCTAAAAAAACTGCTACTACAACCTTGTTGTCGTCAATCGCAATCTTCCAGTTTGTTACTACAAGATTAATCAAAGATTCACAACTGTGGCGTTTCCTAAATCCAGACTGATGCTGAGAAATGAAATCATGTTTTTCGAAGTACTCCTCCAATTGGTTAAATACAGCCTTTTCAAAAATTTTAGATAATATTGAAATCATGTTGATTGGACGGAATTCATTGCAATGTTTGGTATTCTTTACCTTCTCAATAGGCACCACCATAGATTCTTTTAAACAGTCGGGAAAAATTCCCGAACTTAGAGATTCATTTATAATTGATAGCAAATTTTCCCCAATAAAATCAAAAGAATCCCTTATCATTTTCACATCACATAAATCCATATCTTTTTTATTGTTTAATGTTTTTAGCATTAATATTAAGTCATGTAGTGCTAACTGTTTAAATTGAAATTGAGTGCTACAATTACTAATAAAATTTTGATATTGCTTAATGGGTATCGATCTGTTTATCTGGCTTACACTTTCAACAAAGAATTCATTAAATTTGTTTGCAATTTCACGATTATTTGTACATATTGCATTTCCAAAAATTACCTCTTTTATTTCACTTTGAGATTTTTTCAAAACGAGGTTCTTTATTGATTTCCACATCGATTTCTGGTCAACTGCTTTATCGATCATTCTATTGAAGTGATTTGATTTGGCTTTATCAAGTTCATTTTTATATTTATTTCTTAAAAGTTTATATTTGTACCACTCATTAAGCCCACCAACTATTGTTGCTATTTTGTATTGCATTATCTTTTTATTTTTCAAAATCCCTAATTCATTTGAATACCACTCACAAACCTTATCTACTTTATTTTTGGTAATAATGAATTCGCTAACAATATTTTTTAAATTACTATTAAAAATTTGAGCCTTAATGTTGCAATCCAAGTAATAGGTTGTCATTATTTCACTAGTAACTATTTTTTGTATAAATCTGGTTCTATTATATTTTAAATATTTAATCTGCGTTTTTTTTACATTAGATTTTATATTATCTTTAATATCAATTAGTATAGTTTCATGATCACTAATCTTGGTATTTTCATTTATTTTTGCATTTATACTATATTGGTCATTTACTAACACGTAGTCTATTAGTGTTTTGGAAACTTTTGATATTCTCGTGAACTCACTTACAATTTGTTTAAATCCATTATCGGTAGTAATTTCTTTAATTTTACTTTTCATATTATCATTCGATTTTCAATTAATATTAAAATCACCAGTTATGATTACTTTATAATTCATTTCGGAAAGTTCCTCGATATACGAAGTAAAATGCTGGTAAAATTCATCATTTGCACTCATATAACCTGGTGATCTGTATATCACAGCTAAATATAGTATTGTGTTGCCTTTGTAAAGTTTCAATACAAGCCACCATATTTTTAAGCCGATTGAAACCGATTTAACAACGTCAAAAGACCACTCTTTTTTGAAATAAATTAGCACTCCACCAGTGTGACGGGAAGATGTATTTACTCTAGCGATATTATAACTATTTACTTTTATCAAATCGTCTGAATCGTTATCAGATAAATGAGTTTCACTAAGACAAATAAATTCGAAGTCTTTATTTAATATGGTAGATTCCAATTCATTAAAATTATTAAAAACACCCTGTATATTAAGATAAGCACACTGAATTGTATTTAATTGCTAATAACTTATTCTATTTTTTTCTATGTTAAGTTTTCTTTTATATATTGGGCAATCCAGACTTTTAGTGCTATGTTCTACATTAATATTTAATAAGTTAAGCTCTTTTCTTGCTCTACAACAATTTAGACATCCAATCGCGTCTTTGGTACAATTCTTTGCTATATGATTTGTTTCACCACAATTATAGCAACAGGAACCTATATTACACTTAGAAGCTGAATGATTATATCCTAAACAATTATAACATCTCATGACATCAATTTTTTCATATACTTTGCAACGATTCCTTTTTTTTGTTCACTTTACCGTCTTCTACAAATTTTTTGAACGCGCAACCATCCATTTCAATTATCGAATTATATACTTTTCCAGATTTATACACTTTTAAACATTTAATTGTTTTTATCTCAATATTGTTTTGTGCTTTAATTGCACATTCAATTTCATTTGGATTAAGCTCTTCACTCATACCTACTACCAAAATTTTAGGATTTTTTAAAGAAGGAATTTGTACTTCATACTTTTCTCCAAATTTGTTTTTTATTTCGGTTTGTATTTTTTCGACAGATTGTTTATTTTCGCAACTTATTGATACAGCACCATTATTTTTTAATTCATGAACACTATTTACTTTTGCAGACAACGCTGACGGATTTATTTTATTCTTTATTTCTTTTATTGTATCAGCACTCTTTTGTTTACCTTTGGGTTTTACAATAATTGGCAACTTTAATTGATCTGCATAAGAAAGGGTTTTTTTTCTTTATTTACATTAGATAAAGCAATATCATTTTTAATATTCTTCATGCATAATTTTATTTCATTTTGGAATTCACTCAATTTTTTATTTATACTTTCTAGGCCATTTTCGCTGCACTCATCACATGAATATTTTATATTTTTATTAGTATTTAAACAGTGCTGATCAGCTGTTGTAAGTTTAGCACATTTAATATGAATTGCACCACCACATCCAAACGCACATAAAATAAAATTCTCAGAAGTTTTAATATGTTTTTTACAGTTTTTCTCAATGCAAATTACACTCATTTTTATTTTGTTCTGATTTTGCAGTATGTAAATTTCATTCCAACATAGGAAAATTATTTTCCTTTTTACTAAAATGACTATTTAAACTGCAACAAAACTCCAATATAAAATAAAAGTTTATAATATAATTGGTTAATAAAAATTTAAATCAAACAATTTAAACTATTATTCACTATATAATTTATTAAAACAAATTTTGCCTTTTATAACACGTGTGATTCAACTAAGATCTCTCTCTCTCTTTTGAAAAACAAAAATTTTTTTGCAATTTCTTTTGAGGTGAAGCATTTTCCTTGAAAATATCATTGACTAAGAATCGCAATAAAACTACCCAATTTGTTTAAAAGTGCTAATGAGTCAGAAAATGGATAATTTTTTAAAACAGTAAAATTTTCTTGCATTTGTTTTGGATTAATAATGAAACATTTTCCGCTGAATTATCATTGGCTTACAATCGCCCCAAAATGACGCAGTGTGTTTAATAAGTGTTAATAAGTCGGAAAATACATAAATTTAAAAAAAAAAAAAAAAAAAAATTTTTTGCAATTTTTTTTCAATTTAATAATGAAGCATTTTTCCACAAAATATCAATGGCTCAGTGTCGAACTAAAATTACCCCGTGTGTTAAATAAATGCTAATAAGACAGAAGATGCATAAATTATTGAAAAAACAGATTTTTTTTTTGCAATTTTTTTTTCAGTTTAAAAATTACGGATTTTCCGCTAAAATATCATTGACTAACAATCGCGCCAAAATGACTCAGTGTGTTAATTAGCAAATATGTTGGAAAATGCATAAACTTTTTAAAACAGCAAAATTTTTTTTGCAATGTTTTTTTCAGACTAATAATGAAGAATTTTTAGCGAAAATATCATTGACTCATAACCGCAACAAAATTACGCAGTGTGTTTAATAAGTTCTGAATAAGAAAATTCATAAACTTTTTAAAACCGCAACATTTTTCTTGCAATTTTTTTGCTTAGTAATGGAGCGTTTTCAGCCTTCGCTGAATCATAACCTGAAAATCACCATATTACCTTGTGTGTTTGACAAGTTCTAAGAAGTCAGAAAATGGATAAATTTTAAAAAAAAAAGTAAAATTATCTTGAAATTTTTTTCAGATTAATAATAAAGCAGTTTCCGCGAAAATATCATTGACTGAAAATGGCAACAAAATTACCCTGTGTGTTTAAAAAGTGATAATAAGTCAAAAAATGCATAATTTTTTTAAAACAATAAAACTTTCTTGCGATTTTTTTCAGATTAATAATGAAACATTTTCAGCGAAAAATCATTGGCTGAGAATCGCACTAAAATTACCCTTTGTGCATAGTAGGTGCTAGTTAGTCGAAGAATGCATAAAGTTTTTAAAACAGTATAATTTTTTCATTTGTTTTTTAAGCTTAATAATGAAGCTTTTTCCGCGAAAATATCATATACTCAGAATCGCACTAAAATTGCAAAACTGGTTAATAAGTACTAATAAGTCGGAAAAAGCATTAAATTTTGAAAACAGCAAAAAATTTTTTTGAACTTTTTGTTTTAATAATAATGAAGCATTTTCCATGAAAATATCATTGGCTCAGAATCGCCTCAAAGTAACCCAGTGTGTTTAATAATTGCTAATAAGTAGGAAAATGAATAAACTTTTGTAAAATCAATTTTTTTTTTGCAATTTCTTTCAGCTTAATAATGAAGCATTTTCCGCGAAAATATCATTTGCTTAGAATCGCTAAGCCCGGCGTGTATGCCCGGTACGAAAGACTAAAACACAAGAAGACTAATTCGCATTTTGAGAAGATTACAACAACTCATCAGAAAAGTATTTATTAGAGGGGAAAGTGGGGAGGGACATATATATATTTTATATAACTGATATTTCATTTATTAACAGTAAGAATAAAGTAATAAGAAAGGTACTTACCGCTGGCATTAGCTGATCCGTGCTCCTTACTCTTGTCACCTTATTTTTATAAATAATTTTTTTTATACATCTTTCCATTTGAACATTCCATTTCATAAATGTTACATAACCAGCATACACGCAAAATAATACTAGTGCTTCCCACCAGTATATTAAATTGTCTCGAAAGAAGTATATTAATATTAATAAACTTATGCTATAAAATGAACAATCGCGAAATAATGGCCACCACGTCAAAGCTAATACGGTTTTCGAAAATAGCGCACACATACCAATAACAAATAAGATATTAAAAACAGCAGAACCAACGATCGTTCCGATACCAACATCGTCAAACGAAACGAATACACCAATAACACTAGTAAATAATTCCGGAGCACTGCCACCAGCAGCCATAAATGTAGCTCCTGCTACATCATCTGTTATATCTAGTTTTTCGATAATCACGTCCAAGGAAGGCACGAAAAACTCGTCGCATACAATTGCAAGGGCGACAAACATATATATTACTCCAAGTACGTGAAAAACCACAGCACCATTTTCAAGTTGTTCTTTTGTAAAAAGATCTGTTGGAAAAAGTGGTGTCTTCTCTGTATGATTTGTTATGTTATCTAAATTGAAATTGAAATAAAAAAGTCATACAGTTAGTTCAAGAAAATTAAATAGTTTTAACAAAGTAAATTAAAAGTGTCAGTTTCAAATTTTTCAATGTATTATTGTTAGCTTTAATACGTTAAATATGCATATAAAAAATATTTAGGTAAATCGATGAAGGTATTTCACTTGGACATCATGGGCATCTTGGAGTGAGTTTTTGGTTCATCATTAATTTAAATGTAAAATAATATCCGTTTGAAATTGAATTGCTTTTTGCGTATCTGAAACCGGTCACTCAAGTTCTTTTATTTAGTACCAAAAAATTAAAGAAATGTAATAATAAATTAAACGCAAAAAACCCCAAAATTCACAAAATTATTTTCTCTATTTACTAATGCATATATTCAATTACGAAATCCATAATAGTGCTCATACATATATTATGTGGCCGACACTCGACAGTGGTCCCAAAGCAAGTGGATAAATTTTTTTGAAATTTGTCATTAAATTTTTACTCGTACGTATGAAATTTCTGAAATTTTTGAAAATATTTGATAATAAAATGAAGGTAAGGCAAAAATCTTTAAGTTTAGAAGACAAAAGTTGCATATTAAAAATGCACAATTCTCAGTAAAACAGGCTAAAAAAAATTAGTTTTCACTTGAAAATATTTTGCTTTAGTTTTTTATCAAAAATTAGCACATACCTGAAATATTTGGACTAGTATATTAGATCAAAACGAGAGTTGACCGTGTCAACTCTGTGATACTCGTACGAATTTGTTATTTTACTCGTATGTGCGAATAAATATGCCAAAGTTGACTATGGGACGGATTATGACTTTAAGTAGCCATATTACCATATTAATTTATGCAAAATTTCAGTACAGTGTTTTCAATATTTTCTAAGATATCGTCAAACTACTATTAAAGTTGTATGGCAGCTACGAGAAAAATTCAAGCAATTTCCACGAATTTTATTTAACACTAGTTGGCCCTATTAATATGTTCACTTGTGTGGAATTTCAATATCACAGCTTTCACAGTTTCTGAGATATACCCAAATAACTTTTTAAGTCGTATGGCAGCTACCAGGAGCCAAGCAATTTCAGCGACTTTTATCAAACATATTGGCCCTACTAATATATTCACTTGTGTGAAATTTCAATACCAAAGCTTTCATAGTTTCTAAAATATAGTCATATAAATTTTGAAGTTTTATGGCAGCTACATGAACCAGTATCCCGATCATATCCGATTTAAATAGCGTTTTGGTATTTACTATAATAAACAATTTGTGAAAATTTGGTGAACTTAGCTCAATTAGTTTTTGTGTTATCGTTGGGACGGACGGGCAGACAAAGCTAAATCGACTCAAAATTCGATGTTGATCAAAAACATACACTTGAGTCTATATCTCAGACCATTATCTGTTAGCGTTACAAACGGTGAGGCAAATTTAGTATACCCTCGAACATACGTTTGTACGGGTATAATGACGATCAGAATACAAGGTTCTACTTTCTGTAAGAAAACGATAGGTTAGTTTTTGATTAAAATTTATCTTTTAAAATTTTGCATTTGCATTTAAATATATCTGAAACTAAAAAAGTCTTCCACAAAATCGATACACCGTTACATAGGGTATTCGATGTGCTTCAAAATGAAAATTCATATATTCCGAAATATCAATGAAAATGTAAAAACTTGGTGGTTTTCTAAAATTCCAAGTTTAAGATTTCGTAACTTGAGAAGAAGAAAAACGTTACATTTCGCCTGGAGGCATTTTTTGTTTACCTGTAGGCATTCTATCACTCTCCTTTGGGAGCTTCATAAGTCCCGGAAACCGTGCATATATTTTTTTGATTTTTTTGTTTTTGGAAATTTGTCGAACGCAATATACGTGCATATTGTAAACAGAAAATAATATATTGTAAACAGAAATAGAAAATATGTATTACAAATTTAGTGAAAATTATTACAAATTTTTACAAATTTTTATGAATTTTTAATAATGTATTAGAATCATTTTTGGGATAGTTATTATGAATTTACCTTTTGTGCTGGTTTCTATTACAAATGTATAACTTCCATTTTCGTTGTCGTCCATTGATGCGTTCGATGCATGCACCATTTTCGCTGGAAGGGTTGTAATTATGAGAATAATACCAATAATCCATACAACATATTTAGCTAAACATTTCGAATCTTTAAATTGTTTATAACGATAAAATTTTAATAACGATATGAAAAACGAGAACATTAATAGTGCTATAAATTTAATGGAAAAATACTTGAGAGATCTATCGATTTGTCTGTTTTTGTATAACATTTTTCTATTAACGTCATTGCAATGTAGTTTAGTGGGACTTTTATGTATGCTGCCAAAATTTCCAGTATCTCTAATTTCTTGGAATGAAAATTCATTACTCCAAAATAATCGACTTGTAACTTTATTTGAAGTTAACCAAGGAAGTGATGAAAGCGACGATGATGGTGATGATGATGATGATGATGGTGAGGATATGCAATTGAATAACTTTGGATAAAACCCAAGTGTTTCCACGGAGAATGAATTAAACTTCGATTTTCGTGGCGGTTGTCTTGGAATATTTGTATTCAAAAATGTTGACGTCATTTGTTAATGCATACACAATTGTAGATGCGTTGTAAGAAATGAAAGAAGTTTTTTAGTTAAGTTTGAATAAATGCCCAATTTTTTTTTTTTTGCATTTTTGTATTAAAATTTGTTAACTTCGCGTCTCTAAGATTTAAAAATGTCAGCTTCTACACTGAATCTAGAAATATAAAATAAAAATATATACATGTTTTTAGTTACGTACATACATATGTATAACAACAAATATTCATTTCGAATGAAGTATGTATCTATATTATAGAATTATAGATTATAGTACATTTAAAGAAACATTTATCATTACATTATACCTGACATTTAACATAAAACTAAAATTAAATTAATCATAAAAGGATAATTACTTAAAATTTATACTCAGATTACTTTAAATTTAATTAAATTCTCTGATTCGTCAAAGTAAACGCTGAGATTATTGTAAGTTACCGCTAGTTTGAAGTAATATTTGATATGCGTTTCTACATACATATTAAACAAATCATTCAAACAGACACATCTTTTTAACTTTCACAACTTTTTAAGTATTCAAAAAAATTTAGGTATTGCATTCAACTGCAGTTACATAGTTAAAAAATCTGATGTGGTCAGCACATAACCGACCGCATTGTATATTGTCTAGTTAAGTGAAAGGGTTACAGAATATTATAAGTGTTTTTAAATACTTCTTTCCAATTTTTAGGACATTAGTAAGCTTATAGTTATCATACCTAGCAAAATGTAAATTTGGCTCTTAGTAGAGTTTTGCTTTGTGCTACCCGAATTCCCTGAAATTCTCGCCAGTTAACCAGAACTTAAATATTGAATTTCAAGAAATTCCATCAATTCGTTCCGTAGATATGGTGAAAAATGTAAAATCGTCCCGCAAATCAGTTTTCGAGCCCTGATCTTTCCAAAAAATTTATATATTCATTGTTTTAATACGAGGAATTCAAATATTAAATTTCAATGAAATCGATCAATTATTTCTCTTTATACACGCAAAAATGTATATTTGGACCGTAGTAAACGTCTAGTTGGTGATGCCTGATTTCTTCCAAAAGTTACCAATTTTCGCGGACGGTCGAGCGAAGCTTATATATGAAATTTCAAGTAAATCGGTTGAATATTTTCTTCAAAATGGTGAAAAATGTAAAATCGGCCCATCGCAAATCAGTTTTCGAGCCCTGATCTCTCCCAAAAATTTATATGTTCATTGTTTTAATACAAGGAATTGAAGTATTAAATTTCAATGAAATCGGTCAATTATTTCCCTTTATATACGCAAAAATGTATATTTGGCCCGTAGTAAACGTCTAGTTGCTGGTGCTTGATTTCTTCCAAAAGTTAGGAATTATTGCGGATGGTCGAGAAAATCTTATATATAAAATTTCAAGTAAATCGGTTGAATACTTTCTTCAAAATGTTCAAAAATGTAAAACAGGCCCGGTAAAAAGTGCAGTTCCCAAGGCCTGATATATTCCAAAAGTTGATCAATCCGTGGCATGGTGGAAATAAACTTACATATAAAATTTCATCAAAATCGGTTCAGCCAAACTTGAGATACACGCGTGCACACACAGACCGACAGGTTACTAAAAAAAGTTTACTTACACTTCCCTACTATGGAGAAGTGCATTCCCACCGAAAACTCGATATGCAAAATTTGTTGCCACCACATTACCTACCTATTGTATACACAATACGGTCGGTAAAAATATAATTCAAAAATGCAATTTAATTACGAAGATGGTACAAAAACTATTATAATTATAGGGTCAGATTTTAATACTAATATTAAATAGCGTCAGATTTTAATACTGCAGGCATTCTATTTGTTTGGAGTAAGTTGGATGACCTTGTTTTGTGATAAAGTGTAATATTTATTGTTGTTACTGTTATATTTGAATTTATCGTGTGATTCTGTGTATTTTGATGCAAAATATTTTTTCTAGGGATGACTGTAAAGGTAAAACACCAATATCTGTATCTGTACTATATTCTACTATTTTATCTTCTCTTTATTTCATTATTTTCATGGGTTTATGCAGCGTTCCAATATTGCCAGACTTATTTGATTTTTCAGATTTTTCGAAGGTCTACAGATGACCAGATTTCTTACCCAATCACTTATAGTATGACAAATTCCTTGCTTAATGAATTATTAATACTTAAACGGTAGGTCTGTCTGGTTTCTAATTCAGTAGGTCTGTCTGGTTTCTAGTTTTTAAAAACTTTATAAAATTTGAAAAAACTAAAAAGTTTTTTGTATGCAAAGGGTCTGACACAATACTTTTTTAACAAAAATGATGACGTTTTCATTTTCTCAGTGTTTAAAGTTTTTTCAACTTTTGCAAAGCAAAATTTAGTGTTTATAAAAATATTTAAAATCTTAAAGCTGTGAAAACATATATTTTTCGTGGTTATGTCGCAAGGTTATTGTACATCAACAATAACTTTTTTTTCAAATGTTTTTAATTATAAATAAAATTAAATGAAGAAAATGGTTTTTTCAAAGTTTTACACTTTTATACTATAATCCAATATCGAAATTTTCGTTTTAATGTAAATAACCAAAAAATTTTTGTTTATGTTTGATAAATGTTTTGAAATTTTACGACACGTTATCACCTCTTTGTAATGACTTTTAAGATTTAGGTATATAAAATTACACCTAGATATACGCAGAAGCTGGTTAATAATTATATTATTGTGAATTCAGCTAGATGGCAAATGTTTTCTTAACTAACCGAATATTCTTTTTGATATTGTTTGTTGTTGAAGTAAGGTTGATTTTATTATACACATAAAAGCGACGCCTCATTTTAAATCGAATTTTGTGCTGATAGCTGACAGTGAAATGGATAACTGGTTACGAAAATCAAGTACGCCTTCTCTTAAAAATAATAAACGATCAAAATAATTATTTTTTATTTAGAGCATCAACTGAAACAAAAATTAAAATCAATTAAATTCAAGTGAAATATTAATGAAAATATGTATTATAGGTAAATAAATTCAATTCAAAAATGTATAAAAACAATTTTTTGCTGAATAATTTTTTGCAAACATAATATATTTTTAAAAATAATTTCATTTAAGTTTTTTTTTTTTGAAAATTCAATACTTTAATAAGAATAGTTTTCATAAACATAAGCTATGTTCATATATGATGATAAAAATGTGTGAAATTAAATAAATACTAAGGTTGATTTTTTCATCAATTTTTTTTAAGTTGATTTTTTGTGAAATCAATATTGTAACGCTGCTTTATGTTCACCACCGAATTATAAATATTAAAGGAATCTTTGTTTCTATCCCACTTGCACCACACCTAAAAATCGTACATGAAAAAAAGAACACTGTGAAGTCAAAAAGTGCAGATAAGTGTCTTTCTTTAATCCAAACATTTCCAATTGAAATTGACATTTTTTTACTTGGAAACGTAAGGAAGGAAATTTTGTGATTCTCTTTTTAAAATAAAGGTAGTTTGTGAATGAAAAAAAGTGTTAAAAAAGACTATATTACAAAAAATTTATAAAAAAGAAAACATGTACAGAAAAAAGGAAAAATGCGAATATTTAAAAAAAGTCAAGAAGCAGTGGGTGGAAAAAAAAGGGCAAAAAAATTGGTAATGAAATTAACAACTTCAAAAAATCATTAAAATATATTTTCACTAGGGGCGAAATAGCAAAATTAAAAAACATTTTAAAAAGGTTTAAAGTGATATACGAGCCAATAGATCTCAACAACTTTTAATAAATATAGCTGCCAATTTAGCATATTTTATTTTGCAAAATTTCAGTACTGTGAGTTGAACAGTTTTTAAGTTATAGTCAAATAACTTTTCAAGTTGCTTATCAGCTACCAGTAGGAGTCAAGCATTTTCAACGGCTTTTATTAAACACATTAACTAACTGTTAGATAGTTTAATTGAAAAACTTCTTGTTGCTTGGTTTGAAGTTAATAAATTTATTTATTAAAAATCTGACCTATTTATACAAGAAATATACTACTTACTTAAAATTAATTATTTCCACAGAAATAGACTAGTAAGCAATTTTATGCATTTATAAAGTTCATAATTTTGCCATGTTAATTTGCGTATCATATAGGTTTCAAATTTACTTAAAGTAGAATTAACAAACAAAATATATGGATTTGACTCCTACTAAAATATTGTAAGAAAGTTATGTATAGGAAAATATTTACATTAACTAATTATAATGTTCGCAAATACATGTGCGTTAATACTAAGTTTTGACAAATTAGAATTTTAGCTATTTTGGTAATTTAAATAAATGGGAAAGTAATAAAAAGAAATTTAGAATTCGGAATAATTTTTGTTACACAACACCTACTAAGAGATTCGCTTGTGTGAAATTTCAATAACACAGTTTTTATAGTTTCTGAGATATAACTGAATAAATTAGAAAGTTATGTATGGTAGGTACAGTACCACGATCATAACTAATTTAATTGTACTCAAATTTTGATTTTTATTATCAACATAAAAAAATATAAAACATACAAACAATAATAAATATAAATAAAATAACACAGTCATGCAAAAAATATAAAATCATGTTTTTTTAAAGAAATTTAGCAACGGTTTTCTGTTAATTTTCTTCGAAATTTGATTGAATTTAATTGGCAGTTCTAATTTTTAATATTTTTAATATTTATTGGACATGTTTGTCTGTTAATTTTGATACCCGTTTTATTATTATTTTTTAATATCGCAAACAATTGTTCGCACAAATATGTATGTGCTTTCGAACATGGCTAAAACGGGCTTAATTGATTTATAGGTAAATTACTATAAAATTTAGTAATTTCCACTTCTCTAAATTTTTGTTATAATATTCTGTATTGCACAACATTTCGATTTCAATGGTAAATTTGCATAAAGTCTTACAATATCAACAGAAAATTGAGAAGTAAATAGGTTAAATTCATTTTGACATCTATTGAAATCTAAAAATCATATTATTCGGAAAATTTCGAATTTACTTCACTGGTCTACTGTTTACAAATATAGGAAAAATTAAAGTAGTTAATATATAAGTATTTGATTTAAATAACAGTTGCTTTCCACTTTAAGTTTGGTTTTTGGATGTGCGACAAACCCTCGCAGAACCTTCATGCTGGTTTCAACACTGTCCC